GGGGGACGGGGCGGGACCCGCTACCCGCGCCCCGCCATGCAGAAGCCGCCCCCGTCCGTCCCGGGGTCCGCGGCGATGGCGGCGGCGGCGGGCGGGGCTGGCAGGTGCAGGGGCCGCCGCTTCCCCCCGGCCCTAGGGCCAGGCCTGAGAGGATCCCTGCTTGGGCCCGGGCGGACAGCGTGGAAACAGACCCCGCCCGTGTCGGCGCGGCCTGGCCGGCTCCTCGCTTGGGAAACCCAGCCGAGCCCCCCGGAGCAGCGGGTCCCAAACCGTGGGGCCAACATCAGCGGGTTGGGGTACGGGGCCGTGCGGAGGAAACGTTTGGGAAGCCACCTGGGCCCACACCAAATCCAGACGGAGGGAGGAGCAGGCTGGACCCCCCCTTTGGTACTGGGAGCTGTCCCAGTTAACACCGGGCCTCAGTGCTCTCAGCTCATTTGCCTGCATTGCCAGTGAAGACCAGTGTAAAAAGGGCTGGGCTGCTTCAGAGCAGTTGGGTGCTGCAACAGGACCCTACTGACTGAGGGCCAGCTCGACCTCTGCACCTACAAATACCAGAGATGTGTTTTCTGACTGCACAAGGGCTGCAATGCAAATGCTGCATGTACAGCAGCTGTACTACAGTGGGACTGCACGGGCACCTCGCCTCCAACACTTGCAGTAAGTTATGGTTAGAGTGACACACGGTAAATGCTAACGCATGCTTCGCCACGACTAGGTTTCTCAAGCTGCAGCCGACTTGAAGCAGTTCTGTTTGCAGAACGCACAGCATGATCCCCTGTTGACAGGAGTATCTTCAAGTACAAATCCATTCCGACCCCAGAAAGTCTGCTCCTTTTTGTAACATGGTGAAATACCGTTGTATCTTTCAGTGGTAAGTTTCTAAAACTATAAGCAATGATGTCTTGTTTCTTTTCTGACACTGAATACCTAAAACTAGCTACTCCTGTGTCTTAAAGGAGATCAGATCTTGGTGGGAAAATTTACTGAGAAATTCAAAGTGCACTATATTTCCTCCCCAAAAAGGATGTACTGCTACTGTAAGGCATTTGGACAAAACTCTGTGCCTGTGTCAGATAGGTACAGAGCAGCTACAGCATGAGTTGTGACAGTGCAACACCGCATTCTGCCTTGACACAGTGCCTCGATCTGAACTTCTTAAAATAACTTCGTCTTCATGCCAGTTTAGTTTTCTGTTTTCTCTCAGGAAAGGCTGTTAAGGGTAGTCCTAAAAACCTTTGTCCAATAATAACCATACCAAGATCACAGAAGATTCTGTTACAGTCAGTGCTGACTACTTTGCTCACTCTGACTGTGATAGATTTGGATTGAGCAGTGTAGTTTTCACATTTGCTTTGGATTGCCTAATATTGCTACTGATTATGAAATTAGACTGATTTCCAAATTGCTTGAAAAATCCAGTGCTTTAGTTCAAAAACAAAGTATATGTACAAATTTAAGGATTACTATTTTTTCTCAGCATGCCAGTTATAGAACATGTAGGCCACATCCAGGCGAGCGTGAATGTAGCACTACATACTGCACACACTTTTCTCTGGTGCCACACACGCAGGCATTTGTTATACTGCTACTTTGCAGCAGGAGGCCTTTTTTTTTTTTACCCTGGAAAACCCATGTAAGAAAATCCATGCTGTAGCTCTTTGCGGGGATGGGGGTGGGGGAAGAGGGTGGCTCCTGCTGCTGCTTGCACCCCCAGAGGATACTGGGGGGGGTGCCCCCTGGATCTGTGTGGGAAGGGGTGAGCAGCAGCTGGAGCTATCTATGCAGGGCTCCTCTCAGTGGGTGCTGGGCTCAGAGTGGGCACTGGCTCAGAGTGCTGCATCCCCCCCCAAATTTCACTGCTGCTCTCCTCCTGGCCACAGTCTGGCTCTTCCCAGTGTGTGGGTAGAGGTGGGGCTGTGGCTGGCAGCAGCGGTGCTGGGAGCGGGGCGCCAAAATTTGGGGTGGATACAGCATTCTCCCAGTGCCTGCTTAGAGCCCAGCCCCTGCCAAGAAAAGCTCCACTTAGGGGAGCATATACACCCCCATGCCCCTGTGCGCTCCTGGGATACAAGCAGCAGGGGGAGCTGCCCCCTTCCTCACCATGGGGGGCATTGATCTGCCCCCACTCCCCATGCCCCTTCCCTTCCACCACACTGGATTTACCAGCTGGGAGGCAGCTGTATCAGAAATCAGATTGGTATCTGCTAGTCTGTCTCCTTAACTATTGGTTATTGGTATCAGTCCCAAAAATCTCTATCAGTGCACGCCTAGTAAACAGGTCCCCTCCACCCCCAACATGAATCTGAACGACATTAGTGTCATTAAAATATTTTTACAACTCCTGCAAAAATAATTGAGCTACTTCCATCTTGATTAATATAAATTTGAGCGTCTCACCTTCTGAAATGAGCTTGGTACATGGCAACATTCTTGACATATATTTATACTATAATATTTTCCTAAACAACATCTGAGACAGTGAATTCTAGATGAGGGGCTAAATACTGCTACATTTTCTTAGCTACTGTGGGATATCAGATTTATAACTTACATATTGCTGATGGAAGCTCAAATGGTTGGTAATAGACTGTATACAAAAAAAAAATACAGTACTAATCCTGTTCTGCTAGACTGTGTGACAACAGTGCTCAGGAATTAAGGTACATTGGTATCATCTCCTTTGTCGCATCCTCTCTCCCTCCCCAAAAGCTTTTAAGTTACTTTTCTTGATTGTTTCTGTCATCCTCAGCTCCCCCACAACAGTCAGCTTTGTGGTTGTAATCTAAATATTTTAAGGAGGAGCCAGAAAGATTGGACAGTGGTAACAGCCATCAGCATCTTTTCACAGTTAAATGAAATGTAATTTCCTTAGTGGCTCAGAGCCAGCTACCAAGAGCTTGTCCCTTAGTCTCCATCGTAGAGTAAAGCACTATCTGAAGCTGTTGTCTTGGGTTGGTGGAGAAAGGCAGGCCTTTCCATTTGTGGAAAGACATCTGCTGACCCAACCCAGTTAGTCTGGGCATCTCCAGTCTGGAGGAGGTTGAAAAACACATTTGTTTCTGTAGGTACAAATTTCCTTTCCTTTGTCCAATTCTGGAAGACAGCTGTGAAGCTAAATCAACTTTCATACCTTCAATGTTCCCTAAAAGAGTTGTATCATTCGGAATACACACTTAACTTTTTTCTTTTTTATATCTTTCAGATCTTTTAACACCTTTTTGTAGCTGCAAATATGTACTGGGGTGGAGAGTGCCTTAAGGAGTGCCTTGATACAAAGTCCATGCAAAAAGCTTAGCTTCAGTGTGCCAAATTTAACTGTAAATTGCTACTGTTGTCAAACCTCTTACCATCTACCTCTCCAAATGAACTGTGTACCACTTGCAATACATTCTATTTTGGGAAGGAACCAATTTTATAATGCCGTGCAAAAAAATAAAAATGTTTTAACTTAGCCTGTTTTTTCTGTTACTGATGCATAAACTCTTTCGCTCCAGTGCTTGGAGCTTCTAGTCAAATTTTTTTCTAGAGCCTTCATCAGATCTGAGTCTGTAACCACTGCAGGTATTCTACTACCTTTGCTTGGATTTCAATTGGAATGTTGTTTAAAGAAAATCCCTAAGCTACATCAAAAGTATTATCTATACTCAAAGGTGGAGGCCTGAGAGCAGTGTGTGTGGGGGGAGCAGACTGGGCTGGGGGGGACCCTTCCCAAAAAAGATCAGATACTGATTTATAATAGAGGAAGAACTTGCACTGCCATCTTTTCTACTTGAAATACAAAACCTGCAAGTTATAGTCTGCTTAGATAAGGTAAGAGTACACTTAGAAAACAATTGTGTCCTTTGGGAAAGGAGGGGAGGCTGCACTGCACAGGCCAGGTGTCTCAGCAAGGCATTAGACTGTGTGCATTTACTGTCTGTAGGACATTTTCAGTGTACTTTAACCATAAGTTCTCTTACACAGACTCTTACTTTATTATATTGGTTTGTAAGGAAAGATACTTAAATAGGCAATGTCTAAACACTTATGCAACTGATTTAAGCTAAAGAACTTTAAATCCTTTGTCCTGACTAGTTAAGTTGAACCTGAAACTTTTTGGTAGAATAATATTGGTACTGTAAGGGTAATAAGTGCATGGTTTAGAGAAGGGATGTTCAATTGCCAGCCCATGGGCCAGATTGGGCCCCTGGCAACATGTCATCCAGCCAGTGGTAATGCAGAAGACAGTGTGGAGCCTGGTATGTGGGGTTAGCTGGAGGCAGTACAAGATTCAATCCTAGGATGCAGGACTGGGTAGAGGCAGCATGAAGCCCGTAGGCCCAATTCTGGTATGCTTGGGTGGTGTGATGCCCAGTCTGGCTGTGCAGGCTTGATCCTGGACCACAGGGTCTGAGATCCAGCCCATGGACTGGCCCTTTGCCCCTCATTGGGCCCATGAGTTTAGAGATAAAGGAACTGGTGTTAATGTCTTACCTGTTTAAACTGCAAGCAGTCTGAGTTTAGCCACCTTACAAACGAGCACCCAACCATGTTACTCTGAGAACAAATTGTTATTACAGAATTTACAACTTTGCACTGGTATTGGCCCTAAAACTTTAGGCAAGTCACAATGATTCATATATGGCAACCTACTCGTATTCCAGAAGAGCTCAGTTTTGAATAAGTGGCACTAGCACTTTTAATATTAAGAGTCAATGTTTATGCTTATTTGAAAAGACATCTTTCTTCATCTGCTCACAGGAAAGTTTGAAAATGTGTTTTTGTCTACGTGTAAAAATAATGCTCAGTAATGAGCACCACTGCTTATTAATTGGAGATGACAGGATCCAGGGCTCCAAACTTGTTAATTTGGTGCAAAGAGCTCAAGAGCAGTTTGGTATTCCTATTCATCAGGTACAACCAGAATACTCTTCCCATTATAGATGGAATTTTCTTCTACTTGTATCCATTTCACGGTGCTGAAATGTAAAGAAAACATTTGCTAGTTAATGCAACAGCAGACCTCATCTTATACTGGACATTTTATTATATATGTAAATATAGTAAAAACAGTAACAAGGAAGAAAAAGTTGCATCCGTTTCAAATGGCATCGCTGCTCCACCATAAAAATGCCTTAGTTTAGCTGAGTAACAGCGACTGGGGAAAACAGTTCAGCTACTCCATTATTCAAACTCATAAAAGATAAATTCCCTTTGTTTAAAAAGATGACAGAGTACCAGTCCTGCAGCTGTGGCTAATGTTGCCTAATCTTGCTAAACTTGGAACTCCATTGTAAAGAGGCAGCAGAGTGGTTCAATATTATGATTTTTTACCATTTTCAGTTTATTAAAAATTGCATAAGAGTTAGTTTAACTTTCCATTGCAGGCACTTCTCTCCTATATGGGGGATAAGTGTTTGCATCAAATTTAAACTCATTATTAATTCTTATATGCAGCTTAAAAAAAAAAAAATCTAGTCAAGCTGCAGTAAAAAGGTCAGATCTCAGTGAACTTTACAAAATATACCACAGCATACTTCTATAATCAAGTATGTAGAACATGAACTACACTTCGCTACTACAGAATCAAAGTATATTGACATTCATTATTCTTGGGTTTGGTTAGTTTTTTTATTTATTTATTTTTTTATTTACTGCCAACATAGAACATTTCTAGTTCGCAGATTAAAAAAAAAATAAGTTTTCAATATTTCACTTGACTCATTTCCATACTTTATAATAGGCTACCATTTGCAGCAGCATTTCAGAATGCCAAAGTTTAAGTACACCTGAGGTACCCAGTGTCACTATTGTCAAACATACCTTGTGAATCCACTCATACTCTCCAAACTTAGAATCAAAGGTTCCTTTCTGAATGGACCTTAGCTTCAAGGTAAAACGTGGCCCAAGCTCTTGAATCCCCACCTTCTTCTCGCTCTTGAAGATATACCTGCAGAGTCAAAAGAAAACATATTGGATAGGCTGCTGCAGGACTGATGCCTCTCTTAGCCATTTACAAAATTTCAGAAAAATTCACCTGTGAAATCTGAAAAAGATATAGTCCCGCTGATTGTGAAATGTAGCAACTTGTCTTCCAATGAACTGAGGATCATGTGGAAAGAGAGAGGCAAGCATGCGACCAACAGAATGTCCCAGTCGTGTTGTAAAATTATTCAGGATTACTTCAGGTATGTGTTCTGTGGGCTCTTTCCCTTTTCGCTGGAATGAAAAAGTTGAGTTACCAGAAAACAACAAATACAGAGTTTTTAAAAGGCATTAGTTACCAACATCAAAACAGAGGGGAGTCAGAGCTAAGTGATGTTATCATCCTCATAAAGTGCTATAAAAACCATTTTTTTGTGCATGTTATACACAGAAGTATATGCATCATGTACATACCATCAGTTGGTAATGTGTGGGAACCTTAAATACTAATGATAGAGGCAGCTTTCTTGAATAAATTACTATATTATTCTCTTCCATAGCTTCATGCACTAAATAAATAGCCTATGGGAAGTGTTGTGGTGATAGGGAATTCAGAATATTACAGTTTGCTCCTTGTAACAGCACTCTAATCTAAACAATATCTATACAAATCTGGGGAAGTGTTGTCTTGGATTGGTACACAATTAGTTTTATATAATGTTATCACCATGACTGCAAGAACACATCATGGAAATAATTAACTGAAAAAAACTAACGCTCCTTCAGCAGCAAGAAAAACTTAGCCTTAAAGAAACCAGCAAATTACCATCATCTTTACAAAACAAATCGAACAAACACACCAAGGATGAACCTTCCTCAGTACGCAGAGAGAGAGAGAGAGAGAGAGAGAGAGAGAGGAGAAAAAAAAAAGTGTGTGGTAGAAGAAGAAACCTTTAAGCAATCTGGATCCTGCATACACTGGATTTTCACTTTTATCTGACAGATAAGCAACCTCACCTTTATTTCTTTACGCAGACGAACACTGCTCATTTTAAAATGAGCAGTTGGACCATCAGGCAAATGACTTAAAACAAGACCGTCTGTTCATCTTGAGTTAAGATGAAGATAAAAATAATCCAGGGTGCAGTTTAAACATGCTACATCAAAAACACTTTACAAAGAAACATGAATTTTGGTTAGAGGAACATTCATTGTTACAGTGGAAATACATAATTTGTATAATCCATACTTAGGGACCCACTCAAATTACAATTTCATAAATTTTTGCAGAAACTGCAAAAAATGATTTCTACAAAAAATGGAAGTTTGTGATTTTGCATAGAAATTGCTGGGAAAAAAGTTCTAAAAATAAAATGCTGGCTCCCCAGTGGGTGCCAGCAGCTGTTGTGGCCTGGCCTTGCAACCCAGTGGGGCAGGGGAAGAGCCACTGGCACAAAGGGGAACAGCCAAGATGGTGGCTGCCCCCTCTTCCCTCCACCACCGACTGGCTGAGTGCTGCCTTTTTATACAGCCCTGCCCCACCTCCACCAATCAACAGATGGGCAAGGCAGCATGAAAGGTAGCCCTCTTGGCCAATCAGTGGTGATGAGTGGGGCTGCTAGGGCCCCCTCAGTCAATCAGTACTGTGCCCAGGGTGGGGAGGCTCACTGTGACAGGCCTGTGAAATTGGCCGTCTGCCATCTCAATTGCATACTCTTGTTTCCTTTGAACTGTCTATCTGGGATATATTTATTTTGTGGCTCTCAGATTAAAAGCAATTGCTCATGTTGCTCCTAGGCCAGTTACAACTGCATCATTGACCTACAACTTTGTAGGTTATATTTGGCTTGTGCACTTCTAAGGACAAAACAAACAAAATGACACTACCTCAACTTAGAGCCATGGTGAAATGAAGAGAAAAGGAGCTTATAATAATATGGGAGAGATCTAGCATGCTATTTAGCCAGATACATTTCTCCTTACATTTTCTGGTGCCAGCATAGTCATATACAGCTACCAGAGCCTACTACATGAAGAAACTGCTTCTAGTTTATGAAGGATACTGGGTATTTTGCGATCTTCATTAACAACTATTAGGTCCGTGAAGTTTCTTGCAATACACTGTGGGATAATTTTTTTCAGAGCAAGCCCTCTTCGATAGTAAACATGTGAGTTGGGTACAATGGAAGACAGCTGTTCACAGAATCTCACTGTTCTCTGCAAAACAAAGATTAGATTGCAATCTTTCCAATAGAGAGCAAACCAAAAAGATGTAAAAATGGTTACTTCTGCAAATGCCTCCCTCTGACTGTTTCACTCAAATACCTAGGTTTTTTTTAAAGGATAAAACATTTCTTCCTCAGTGATCCACCTTAGCTCCAAGTAAAACATTACAAATTGAACATGGCACCTAAACAAAACAACAGAGCAAGCAAGAACTTTCTCCTGATATTCTGTTGCAATATAGGTTTGAATAATACTGTCCATCTTTTATCTATGCATGTACATTTTTGGAAGCAGGGAGCAGCTTCCTCCTTTTGGATGAGAACTGTTCATTTCATCACCAAGCATAAAACCAGTAATGCTATTATTCACTATTAATAAGATGACAAAGTATTAGAGGGATACTAAACTAAAAATTAAGTCAATTAAAGCACTGAAAAGTATTTTTCTCTAGTATAAACACCTGTCCCCAAATCCCTTAGATAGTTTAGGGTTTCATAATCCAGACTATGATTTTTAAAAAAGTGCTCGTGTCACTGTGTGAAAATCATGAATGGCCCCAGCCCATGCCAGGTATTGGCACAAAGGTCTGCACATGAAGTTCCTATTGCAAGACTAGGGTCAGAGAGGCAACCAATTATGAGAGCCAACAAGTTCATAAAATAAAATAACTGAAAGAATTCCAGATAGGAGTTGCTATTTCTTATGTAATGGTATCACTTTAACACTGCGTGGGTAGGAGGCAGCTTTGTTAGATTTTAAGCCCAAGCAACTCACAAAAGAAAATTAAGCTTAAACAGTGGCACCACACTCTGCTTCCACCCTCTCTCAGAGGAACCACTTAGTCTAGAAGGAAGACTTTTCCTTGCTCATTCAGTCCTTTGCCTCTCTGTGGAGACTACCAACACAAACATGTTGGCTTAGGTAACTACTGGATCCAAGTTCTCATCAAATAGGATATGAAAGCCTCTCTATCCCATGAACAGTCACCTGGATCATAGAGACTCCCTTAAATAAGTTTAAAGAAATCAGAGAAACAGGAAAAAATTACAAGCTTCATATAAGTGTATTTACCCCTCGAGGTCTGTCTGATGTCGTGATAAGAATCTTGGGAAGTGTCTGTCTATTGAAGTAAGGTGCAAATTCATCTGTAGCTTCATCAAAAGCAACCTAGAAATATAAAGTGCTTTAATCCATTCAATTTTTACTAGAAATAAAATAGTTCACGCCAACATAAATTCTGGTGCCATTAAAGTCAATGGCAAAACTGCAATTATAACATTAAGCCAGAACTTGTAGGTATCCACCCCATTTGTTCCATTCTGAATCTGGGTTTTTAAACAGATATGCAATACAATGGGAAATAAGTTTTTTCTAAAAACAATCATTAAGCAGCAGAAAGTTATCATCTGCATGACTATCAATCCATATATATATATTACACATACACACACACACACACACACACACACCATAAGAACAGAAACAGACTTTAATTAGACTCATTAGCAGATATTTTGGAGGGAAGTACAATTTCTTAAACACATGAAACCACACAGTTAAGTTACCTCTTCATCATTAGGATCCACAGTTGTTTCATCATAAACTCTTTGGTTTTCAATTGTCTTTGGCACGGGCTTTGGTGGTGCCTTAAATAAATGTACATTTGTTTATTAATAAATGTAACACATTAACAAGATTCTTTTTTAAACATGAAATGCAAGACATTTTCACACCGATACTCAGCCAAGCAATATGCTCAATTCTACAGTCTCCTGCGACTAAGTCAATTTTTGGCAATAACTTTTAAAATGCTGAAAGCAAAACCATCTTTACACAACCAGTACCAGTGATACTAACTTCCTCATCATGAACAGATTATCATGAGTCTGACAATAAAAAACAACCCCCAAACACACAAACTACAAAATACTGTCATACTATTCAACCCAATTCATTTTATGCCAAGAATGAAAGAGGGCTCTAAAGTTCATATGAAGTTGTTTTCTATTACTATGCTTTATTCTTCATGTTTCAGCTTCATTTCTTTCCCCACTATTACCTCCAAAAACTTCCGTCTGTGGCTTTAAAATGGAGGTAAATGATCTGGCCCATGGAGCCCCATGGGTTTTGAAGTTGATCCATGCAGCATGTGCTGGACCAGCCCAGCAGCCAGTATGGGACTACGTTGCCCACAGCACCAGCTCTGGCCACTCCTGGCCGAGGCGTGTGAAGTACAGGTCCTAGACTGGCTAGGCTGCCACTTGCAATGCAGTCCCAGACTGGGTGCTGCATCCAACATAGTTTCATAGTGCTTAGGGTCAGAAGGGACCTAAACAGATCATGAGGTCCGACTCCCTGCCCTAGGCAGAAATGGGTGCCACGGTCATATCACCCCAGCCAAATATCTGTCTAGTCTCCTCTTGAAGACAAAACATGAGAGGCAGGGGTCCATGGGTCTCCCACTTGCCAGATCCAGTGCTCCCTCTGCCTGTAAGCTGTGCCCATCTGGCACCTATGCTGCACATGGCACTTGCCTTGGACCAGGCACTGTGTGCTCTGGATCTGATATGCTGGTGGGGGTCCATGGGCCCAATCTGGGCCACAGGGCTGGCCCTGAACCATTCATTTGTCCTGCAAGGCCAGATGAGTTTAATACTCCCGTTTTAAAAGAACAGCACCACAGTCCTGTTGCAAGTTTGCGTAGCATTAAACTCATTCATGAAACAGACTCTTTGCTTACTGCAGCTTGGTAGCAGCTAGACACAAAGAACAGTAACTGTTCTTCTCCAGCTGCCACTAAGCATCCAGAAGCACGGAAAAAAAGTCACTTGGTCTTAGCAACAGGTAACTTGCATTCATAGTTCATAGGTGGTCATGTTATATTTGTTTTATTCAGGGTTACTCACAACACTGATGTCTGCAGCAAACTCTAAAGACTCTTATAGCAACTGCATCACAAGCCTGCTGCCTAAGAGAGCCACTGTATTCATGCAAAAAAAACAAACAACATACCCAGTTTTTCAGAAGTTTACAAATTGACTGGGGAAAAAGAGAGAAAAAAAAATCACCAGCTCCAAATAATACTATAGACCCACTGCTATTTAAAGACTGCCTCAACCATGTGACAACACTGCTAACGCTATGCTGCATCTGGAGTTATTGGCCTGGCCAGACTGGTAGGGTGCAAACAACTCCAAACCCCACCCAAGCAGGGAGGGAAAGGTGTCCTGATTACAGGCCATGGCAGCCTGGGTGCTGCACTGCTTGCATGAGGCAGCAGCAGTAGTGGCAGTAAGGTGCTCAACACCACTGGGGTGGGGCAAAGGAGTCCCGAGGAGGGCTGCAAACCACCATCACTTGCCTGGTCTCCCAGTGCCTCTCTCTCCTTCTTCCGTTTTTTCTTATTTGCCAGCTTTTCCTGAGGAAAATGAGAAACGAAGCAGGAATTAAGACGCAAGGTCAGCTGTATCTCTGCGGCCAGGTGAGAGGAGGTGGGATCCCCCCGTCATATCCCAACCACCCCTCCCCATCCTGAGGCTGCCGCCCCCCTGCATGACGTCACGAGCGGGAGAAGGTGAGGTGGGGTCCTACCTTCCTCTGCTGCTGCTTCCAGCGCAGAAACATGAAGTGCCGCCGCTGCTTGTTCTTGATCTCGGACACGCTGAACGCGGGCGGGAACAGAACCCGCTCCGCAGCCGCTCCATGGTCCTCAGCGGGCCCGGGCGCCACTCCACACTGCCTCGTCCCCTGCTCGCCTTGGCTAGCCATGCCGCCAAGTGCAACCGGAAGTAACCCTTGACCCCGCCCAGCCCCTTTTCCTTTCCGGGGCAGGATTCGAGCCCCCACCCCAGCTGACGTAATCGCAGCTGCGCCCGGTTAGAAGGGGCTGCGGACCCGTAGGTTGTGCGTCTGCGTGGATGGAAGGGTCCAGGGCGGGGCCACTCCGGTAAACACCGTGCATATCCGTGTATGCAAAGTATGTCTGTATACACGCACAAATACAAATACACATACACGCGGTCTGTGTAGCACTAGATACACCATATGCGTGTATCTATATAATTATAATAAATATGAGGCCGACAAGGTTATTTGGGTAAAGCAGATCTCTTTTATTAGACCAATTCAAATAGTTGGAAAAAATATTTGTTGTAAGCTTTCGGGTAGAAATACTCTGTCTGGGTGAGGAACTATCTGCAATCGGTCTAATCAAAGATTCACCCAAACAACCGTGTCTGCCTGTGTCCTTAGACCAACCCAGCTACAACCTGCACCCCTATCAAATATGAGCCATTTCTCACACCAGTTTCTGTGATGACCTAATTTCTGATTCTCACTGTTTGGTATTTGGGCCTGCAAGTGCAGGTGCTCAGGGTGGCGGTCTGTTACCAAAGGGAGTCTGATCCTGGCCATCCACACCTCATATCATCCATAATGGCTTTTGCTGCGAGTTGGCAGGGGGAGCAGTCGTATGTGGCACCTGCACAGGGAACGGGTGTCTTGTTCACGTACATTTGTGAGGCCAGCGCAGACCGGAGCTGTCTGTGTTTGCACAGATCCAGCGGCCTCAGTACCTGGCAAGTGTTTTTTGTTTTTTCCTTTTCTCCCAGGCCAAAGGCTAATGCTGTGTTTGGGAGGGTGGCTTTACTACAAGCAGTCTTGCACTCTGATTTGGGGTACATCTGAACTACGCTCCACCTTCGTAGAGCCTGAATCGTGAATGCCGCAAGCCCCTGGAGGCTGGGGGGGCACAGCAAGCCCCCGCAGGTGGCAGTGGTGCTGTCCGTGGCAGGAGCGTGACAGTGACAAGCAGGGAT